CGACAGTATTGAATTTGTCTGAAAATTCCATTGGTGTTGCTGGTATAGCAGGTGTCGCTGATGGGCTCAAATCTAACACAACACTGTCAGAGTTAAACTTGTCTCGCAATCGCATTGGTGATGATGGTGCAGTAAAGCTGGCTGATGGGCTTAAATTCAACACAAGATTGACAGTGTTGAATCTGTCTGGCAATAAAATTGGTGATGCTGGTGCAGCAAATCTGGCTGATGGGCTTAAATATAACAAAAAACTCACAGTGTTGCATTTATCTGACAATGGCATTGGCGATGATGGTGCAGTATGTCTGGCTGATGTGCTCAGGGAATCCAACAAAACACTAACAATGTTGTATTTGTGCGACAATAGCATTTGTGATGCTGGTGCAGCAGGTCTGGCTGATGCGCTGAAATCATCCAACTCGACACTGAACAAATTATGTTTGTCTGGCAATAAAATTGGTGAATATGGTTTAGATGGTCTAAAAAGTACGCTTAAAACCAACAAAGAACTGACAGTGGATTTGCTTCCTCCATAATCAATTTCTAGCTGTTTTAGTTTTTTCGTTTTAGAAGGAACACTGACAGATCATGTATGAAATAATTCGAAAACAACTGGTATCGAGGGTGAGTCACTTGAGTGAATTACCGCCTTGGTACCACTAGAAAGTCCAAGAAGTAATTATTTTTGTTAATCTTCACTACAGTGTTGAAGTGTATAATATTTCCTTCTTTTCTTAAATCAGGACAAAATGAATGCTGACTTGTGTTTATTGGCAAAATTACACGAGTATCAATTTAATTTCAGTGAATCGCTGAAAATTTCGCAATTATTGACCAAAAGAAAAACGTTCTAGGGCTAAAAATAAGAATTAGTACACTGGAGATCAGTCTCCTCTCTCGGAGTCTCTTTTTCCAGACGGAACTGTGCCGAGGACGCCTGGGACTAATCGACTAGCTAAAGAAAATACTTTAAGAGAGATGCTAGAATTTCTGTATTGGTAATGTGCTTCATTGTTTAGTGTAAAAACTTTTACAGAATTGTACCTGCTTCTGATAGTTTATCATGTTTAATAATGAATGTAAATTAATGATCATGCTTATCCGAGTTCGGTTGTAATAATCTTTATTTACTTAATAATTATACGTTAATGACTAGCTGTGGCTGCAAAATACACAAGCCCTGTTGCGTAAAGTAAATTACTACATTGGGCTATATTCGGAACAGTTGTTAGACGTAGATGTTGCAAAAGATGTAATGTATGAATGAAAGTGAATTGTTGTAATAGAATTATTTTGAATCTGGAAGAGTTGAGCACTTTTCAGCGACACACTCAACACTTTAACGTTTCGGCCGGCCGTCAACTACACACTGCGCCGGAGAAATTTGAAAAGGCAACAATCACAGGGGGTTGAAACTTTTGAGTGCGATTTTAAGCATGCGCATAATAAGGGTCTGATTGAAGCCACGTGGCTATGTATCGGCTGGGTCACATGATTACATCACATGATTATCTTCACGTAATCTTGAAAGTCGAGGGGTTAACACGGTTTCTTTCATCATGGAAACACGTATCGTAGATACAAAGTAGCATCAAAAATGGAAACCACTAAACATTTTCATGAATACTCGCTAGGTTTAATAGTTTCCCCATGAGAAACAGACTAACACATAACTTTTGTTCACCTCATAGACAACAAATCAGCGCTACATACAAGACAACAAATCTGTGTTAACAAGCAACGTTCGTTACAAACAAGCAATGAAGTACTTCATTGTTTCTCAGCCATGCAGTATTAAAAAAGCCATTTCCTGTCTTACTCTCACTGTAACCGTAAAGGATAAAAGAAAAGAGCACAATATCTGACAAGAGTTTGACAGAAAAGAATTTTTTATATAGCGAAGCTTAACAAAGTACTAGACTTTCTAATCCTAGATTAGAAGTTTTATGCCCACACTACGATGAACCTTGTCTTAGATTTATACACTGCCGGGTCAAAATACGAAATGTAATAGGCCACTTCCAAATTACCTGGTGCCTCTGTTTCAAAACGAATCTTCGAGCAAGACAATTCACATGAAAATGAGTTTGATTTGCATGAAAGTGAACCTGTAGGCGTAACACATTTTCATATGAATGGTTTCGCACGGAGACAGAGGCAAAAGGCAACTCGGAAGTGGACTATTTGTCATGATCTAAGATCGTAATTCCAAGTGGCTCTTCACAGTCGACTGTGCTTATCGTTTCTGTCTGAACAGTTCACATAGTACCAAAACGAATTTTGATTTCTTCTGGAAGAACCCACTTTCTTAACAGTGCCAGAGAATCTTCAAGGAAATGAGACTAATCGTCTTCTTTCAATGCAGCAAACATACACTAGTGAATCATCTTTCAGTGACAGATTTCAAAAGCTCTGCCATATCACGAATGGATATCAATGTTCCAATCTATGGTCTTGCTGTTACTAACGGGAGAAAGAAGAAAACGTCATTTCAAAGCATGGACTTCCTTTTCCGCAAGCGTGTTCTCGTCTGTCTCTTTGATTCTATTAATATTTGCGCTGTAGGTGTCGACTACGTTTGTGTCTTCTTCGCTTGAGCTCAGACCTGAGCCAAAGTCATTGGTCTCGATACTGTCCTCGTCAAATTCCTCCTCACCCTCCCCTTCCTCGTCATCTAATTCACACTGAGTCAACCGGCCTGTAGTCGAGGCTAGTTCCCAGGCCAGGTCAGTCAATGTCGCCCGGTCATCCTCATCTTGGTCGGCCCTCTGGTCATCTTGCACGCTTTGGGTGCAGAGTTGCGCTAAGAAGTCGTCATCGCTGTCATCTGACCAGTGAAAGCTCGGAGGATTTGGGCTCAGGGTCAGCGGGGACACTGTAGACACGCGGTGTACTTGACTGTAGTCTTCATAGCCTTTGGGCATGTACGGCTGGGCTTTTAGGAAATCCACGATGCCGAAATCATGAATCTGGGCATCGTGAACAGTCTGGGCTTCACCTTCTGCTGGGGTAAAGATGGCGTTGGATTGCGAGTCTGGTCTATCACTGTTCTTATCTGACAAGCTTGGTTCGTGTAAAAGAGGGATAATAGGGCGGGGGCTATCTTTAGGTCCCTCGCTCTGTTGTTGTCGTTGTTGTTGTTGTTGTTGCTGTTGTTGTTCTTGTCTATTGATCGTATCATCACTAACAGAGACGCTTTCATGAGGTTTCCACACATTTTGTGATAGAAGACGCGTACTCAACTTATCGGGTTTCACTGAGGTCAGGTCAAACGAGGCGTCTCTCTCGCGAGACACTCTCCCCGANTTACTTATCAACCATGTACCCATGAAAGTTTTAAGTGTTTCCATTTCCTTCCACATCCAAAGCTATTCACAGGAATTGTTACAACCAAGAGGTTTTTTTTTATTCTCTCTGAGCCCAACACAGGAGTTTGAGGCTCAGCGAACAACACCTCTATACACATGTATAAAGCGACCAAGTAAATTCTTTGAATCATTATTAACCAATAGCATCTGAGTGTAAAAAAGATAGAAATGGTCGCAAATTTATGACTCTGTAGTGTGCAGCTTGTTTAGATTGATCTGAAAACTACTGTAAACACAAGAGTTTTCTTTTGTCAATGTGTGCAGAATTTTGCCCAGTAACATTGATTTGAGTAGTTCTCCTGTTATAGTTTATCTGGTGCATGGCAAGCAAGTCAAAATGGCTGAGAAGTAGCATGCTTACATGTTCTTATCCTTAAAGTACTGGTGCATTCATTTGAACACCAATATATTACAGTCAAACTAAGTGAAGCGTACCCCTCAAGATTACATTCATGATTTGACTATATGAATATTGAATCCGCTAGTCGTTCCAGATAGGACTAATGGGTTCAATAATCAAATAATCAATTCATTAATGTAATCTTGAAGGGTACGCTTCACTTGGTTTGACAGTAGACCTGCATACCTCCCCCCTCCCACCCCATTACCACATGAGGAAAAAAAAACATGACAGTTCTTACCTGTTCAAGTGTCTGGGTGCTGTGTTTCTTGAGTGCACCCTTTTGATGAAATGACATAAAGCAACTCACACAGTACTTTTCAGCACATTCAATGCACACCTACAGGTATAAATCAAACACAGTAATTTTAGTCATGTATCAGGGTCTGAAATTAACTTTTTTCGGCAGGCGCCAACTGGCGACTGAAATTTTTTTCGCAGTCACCATATGGAAAAATGTGGTCGCCAAAAAG